TATTTTCTTGGATAGCTTGGATGGCTTTCTTTCTCTCTCCAGTACCATTCGTATAAATTCGTAAATATGACTTTTTTCAGTATGATAACCCTGAAAAAGGAAAGCTTTAATATGCTTTATTTTAAATGATTTCATAATGCCAGAGAGAATTTTGTTCACCTTTTCTTTACATTTATCTAGAATCTCTCCATCTGGTACGTGAATGTCAAAGAAAACTTGAATGTCTATAAGAGTTACCAGTGCCTTTTGGCCATTAATAAGGTGACCATAAAAATGCAATACATAGCGATACATTCCATTTATCCTTTCTGTTGATCATTCATTCTCAATGGCCATGAATGGAATTTCTTGTCATTTAGATAAAGTATCTTCGAGGATTGAAGATAATCCCTCATCATTTCCTGCAACTATATCATCTAGTGTTAAAAAGCCTAACAAGTATTTTTCACTGGAATAGCGAATTACTTGAGTTCTTATTTTATCTTTTTCAGCCTCTGGGTGAAAAAGAGCAGGGGCGTCGAGAAACTCAGATTGTGTCATTTTTTCTTAAGCAATTTAAAATAATTTATAATTATACTAAAACTCAGGGTATATTATTCATAAGAAAAAAGTTTAAAATGAAATTAATTCCTTGACATTATTAATTAATACATATAAATGAAAAGCAGAAAAAAAGGTGACACTCTGGTATTATATAATTGTCCATATATTCTTAGGACTGGAAAAGTATGCAATCAGAGATGCTATCATTCAAAGGGATGTAAAGTCCACCGAAATTCTAGACAAGTTTTTTGTAAAAAATGCGGTGAACTGACAAGATCCAAATATGACTATTGCAATACACATGCAAAAAAACATAGATTAAAGAAGCACTACCATCAGAAAAAGCTGGCTGATTTAGCTTCGACACAAGGACTGGTAGGCAATTAAGTATAGATATAAGTGATGTAAAATTTGAGAATATATCCCAGCAAACTGTTCTTTAAAATCTGTCCTCCTGTTGTTAAAGTTTTCTAGGACGAATGAAATATAGCTAGATGGTAATATTAAGATGAATGAAGGGAAAGAAATAGTCCATCCTAGTTGTCCTAGTTGTCCTAGTAAATTTCGGACTTTACTTTTTTATTTTTTTTACCTATAGATATATCGGTATATAGCATAAATAGCATACATATATTATACTTATACCATAGGATAGGTTACGATTTTTTTAGAATTTTTATTTTTACTAAGACAATTATGACAACTAGGACGTAATATAAAAGAACAAGTTAAAGCAAAGAAAAAAGCTTTACTTTCATAACAAAATCCATTCTAGTTCCTGTCCCAGTTTATTAAAATGTCCCATTTACTAGAATGGATTTTCTCGAATTTATAACAGAATATTTTTGCAAGTAATTAACCAATTCATCTCAAATTCAGCATATATATCTTTTAATAATATACACATAAAGTATCACTTGACATAAAGCCTTCTGGGATCATTATCATATGATTCTCCTAACAATATACAGTCATACCTCTCTATAGCGAATTTTTATATAACGAATTTTTTGGACAACTATATTAAATTTACCCTCGTTATAACGAATTAGCCAATCAAATTCTTTAAAAAATTCACTATAGCTCTATAGTGAAGTTGAAGTTCAGGACATAAAATTCGTTATATCAAGGGTTGACTGTATACATAACGGATCACTTGATACAGAGCCTTCTGGGAGCACTATCATATGACTCTCCTAACAATATATGTATTTTCTCGCAATACCTATTTTAGAAAAAAGACGCAGTAAATTAACAATAATATCGGCCAACACTATTCCATAATTTCAGCCGGAACTTTGGATATAATAACTTAGCATCCAAGCTAGCATAAAACTGGCAAACTAATAGAACCTCTCTGGCTTCCTGCCAGTTTCTTACCAGTTTCTCAACAGCTCTACAGTAGTTCTAGGATACTATCAAATCACCATCATAACACCAAGCTGGATCCTCAAATCATATACTCTAAAGACCAACTAGAATTATGGCATAATGTCAGCCAAAATTAATTGCAAATCCACTACGCCACCTGACATGATTTTTTTTTACCACAATTTGGTATTTAAAAAGGTAACCAAATAGGTGCAAAAAAGAAGCATCCTCAATATATTAACAGGTCACCAAACAGGCACAGAAGCAGGTAAACAAATAGATAGCTCTTTAGAAGTAAAAGAAATATAGAGTAATGTAAAAGAAAGGCCGTAGATAAGTGGAAAAATACACTCTATCAGATTGTGATGCCACCGTTAGATTATATAATAATCACACTAATAGATCATATCACCACTGACCTATCATAACACTATATAGCAGGAATTAATTAAAATAGTAGTTAGAAAGCCGTAAAGATAACTAAACTATAGGTTATAAAGACACATGTAGATTATGTCATCACATTAGATTATGATATCAGGTTATGACATCACCCACTAGATCATGACATTAGATCATACCACCACTATTAGATTAAATTATCACCATCAGATTATATCACCACCATTAGATTACATAATTACTATTATAACTATTAGATTATATCGCCACCATTAGATTATGACGGCGATGATATAACCTAACTCAAGTCGCTAGAGGTTATTTGATATAATTATATCAAATAACCTCCAGCGATTAAGTCTGAATTTCAAAATTTGATCGCAAATATCTCAAGATAAGCTAATTCAAAATTAATGAATGTTAGCTCATTGGATTTGTATAATCACAAGGAATCGAATGGTAGCTATTTCATTTGAATCAGAATGATATTGACCAATATCATACATCTTTTATTTTTATATATATAAAAAATCATATGATATAACATCAATTCGATCATTTTGACTTTTCATTTTGACTTTTGGGTTTTCATTTCAACTTTATGTATAGATGCAACCACTTAGTTTTTAATTTGATAGATTTCAATTAGAATCTTTCTTGTTATAATAGTGATTATTACTAAATTTTTTAGTAAAATAGAAGTTATGATAGAGGTTATTATTAAATTTTTTTAGTAAAACTAAAGTTGTAGTATTATTTTACCAAATTTTCTTAGTAAAACTAAAGCTGCAATATTGATTTACTAAGTTTTTTAGTAAAGCTGTAAGTTGTTTTACTAAGATTTTTCTTAGTAAAAATTCACCTGTTATTAAATTAATAATTTTTTTAATTAAATTTATAAAATAACTTTATTTTAATATATTATTATATAAATTAAAAAATTTTTTTATATTCAATTTGATTTGATTTGATCAAATATTTAAACTGATTTGATTCAATTTGTTTCAATTTAAAAAAATTTAAATTGCTTCAATATTTGATTCAATTAATTTAAGAAATCCTAATTATGTGTAAATATTTCATAATATATAAAAACCATATTATATCTAATTAAATGCTAATAAGTTAAATGCTTTATATTTTAGATATATTATTAATTGAAATTATAATAAGATTTGGAATATAAAATTAGAATAAGGTTTAGGATTAGGATAAGGTATGAAATTAAGATAAGGTTAAAATTAGAATAAGATATAAAATTAAAATAATATTTATAATTAGAATAAAATGTAGAATTAGGATTAGAATAAAACATAAAATTAGGATAAGATTTAGATTAGGATAAGATATGAAATTAGGATAAGATTTTGATTTAAAATAAAATGTATAAAGTTTGAAATTAGAATAAGATTTTAAGATTAAAATAAAATTATAAAGTAATATTAATAAATTTTTTTCATTTTTTTTTCATTTAGAAATTTAATATTGGTATATTATCAATTTAAAGAGTAAAATTAATTAATGCTATGTATTATTCATAAATATGTTAATTCTTATTTATCACTAATGAAATACTTTAATGGTATATAAAATATATTTTTTTTTGAACTTCAAAAAGCAGAATATTAGAATTATTTATCTTTTATTATTACTTTTCTTTAGCAATTTGTGTTTTTTTAAAATTTATAGAACATTTTAACAGATTTAGTTTTTTGTATTTAATAATTTAAATTAAAATATATTTTACCTTCTAATCAATATAATGATTGTGATAATATAAGTTAATTTTATCGTTAAAATTACAGTGCTTTAAATTAGATATTCTAATGTTTATAATTAATTTCTTTAAAAATTAATCATTATAATATGTTAGCTTATCTTAAAAATTTTATAGATAAATTATAAGTTATATTTAAAATCTCTTATTAGTTGAGTTAATACTATCAATATTTTGAAAAGTTGAGAAGTTAAACACATGACAATTAATACTTTATCAACAAATTATATAGTATTATATCATGATTTTCTATATAAATGCATATATCTGCTTTTGATTAGTGGTTTAGTTTGTCATTATTTTTTTAAATAATATTATAAATACAAAAATGCAAAATTTATTATTACTTTAATAAAGAATCAATGGTATTTCTTAATAGTAATGATTTTTATTCAAATTTAGTCATGATTTTCAACACAAAAACTTACAATTTTTTTTGATTTTTAGTTAAAATACATTATAAGATTTATTATAAATCTATTATTTTTAAATAAAATTTCATTTTTAATAATTAAAATATTAAATATATACAAAATTTTTAACTAAATAATATTTAAACATAAATAAATGTTTTAATTATAAATTTGTATATTTTGTAAAGTTTTTTTAATAATATAAGAATAAATAAAATTAAAAATTTTAGCTTTTATAAAGAAAATACTTTTATTAAACATTTTTCAATATTTTGATCTTAAATTAATGCAAAAAGTTACTAATTAATATAATTTTTTTTTTGATTTTACTTAAAAAAACATTATAAATTTTATTATAAAAATATTATTAGTTTGATAACTAATTTTTAATATATTTAAATTATCTTTAAAGTATAAATAAAATTCCTTCTAAATTTGGAATGAAAACTATTAAAGGTATTAACATACAAAATATTAATACTATATATAATTCTTTGAAATATAAAGTTAGAATACTAATACTGTAATGAAAGTTTAATTTTAAATTCTATATATAAGATTTGAAATCTTAGGATTGTTTAGACCAGGATCCTAAAATTAAATGTATAATTATAAAAAATTAAAATTATGATAAATATGTAACATTAGGATAAAAGTTAGCAACATTGGTAGCTAAATATAATTTAATATATATTTTAGCTACTTTATGAGGTTTAATTTAACAAGTGAAATAATTAAATAATAATATAATAATCAGTTTCAAAATATAGTTCAAAATCAATTACAAATAAATATAAAAGGAAGAACTGCTAAAAATTAAAATTATAATTTGAAAATAGCTCAAAGGATTCTAAGTGTAATAAATAAATTCTAATATTCATTCAAGAGATACTTATACATATTGAAATATTCTATAAATTGTAATACAAAAAGTTATATTACATCTTGCAAAATTTGCAAAAAAAATAAGCATACATATTTATATTGTCAAAATAAGAAAAATTTTATTGTTTAATTCTAAATATAAGTAGCTTATATTTAAATTTTATTATGTAAATTTTTGTGCAAATTAATAAAATATTGAAAGTATTATGTAAATCACATAATTTATATATAGGATGATATTTAAAAAAAATCATTGGAGATGATGGTTAAAAAAATTCTTAATTAAAAAATATATATTTAAAATAGGTAATAATAAAAAAAATAATTTGCCATTATTTTTACTTATACTACAGATAGAAATTAATTTTTAGTAATTTTAATTATAAGTAAAATAATTTTTAATAATATCTAAATTTTTATATAAATAGAACCAAATTATCATATAATGAATAAATTCCACTAATGTTTAAGAAAATGGTTGAATACAGTAGATGCATAAATTAATGACAATTATTTTAATAATAATCAATTTCTGTTAAAGTAATTTTATGATAGCAATATTGATTTAGCATTTGTGGATGACAAATAGTGATGCTAGTAAAACTTAATCATATTTTTTATAGTGATATTTGTAATTGAATAAAATGTTTGAGAAAAGATGTAAATGTTATATAGCAATGAATATAATGATAATTCATTTTAGCTTTATTTTGGGAAAGTGCTTATTTTCAGGACTTTACGGTAATAATAATATTTGTTTAAAAGATATTAACTAATTTTTTCATATTATATTTTTCAAAAAATAATATATAATTTAAATTAATTATATATAAAAAGAAATTTCCTTTTATATAAATATTAAACTTTCACGCAAGCTCAATAACAGAATTAATTATCTTTCGCGAAACGATGACAAAAATTTTACTCGACAGAAATTACTGTGAAGTATAAAGGTGTAAGTAAAACTGCGAGGAAAAAAATGAATGTTTCCGGCATTTTCCTACCTTTCTATTTATTTATTAACAAGTTAAGCCCGCTAAATTTAAATGGATCAACATATATATAATCATATTTTAATAGAAATATACAAAATTTCTTTACATTACAAAACAAAAAAATCAATACATAAATATAATAAGTAAATTATCAATGAAATTTTATAAAAAAAAACTAGCAAAAAGGACATTTCTTATGTTCTTTAGCTTTATAACAAGGTGAACGATCGAAATGTTTACAATCAGGAAATCCAACTCTAACCGTAGCTCGGCACATCGCTGTGCACCAGGGTGATGAACAAATCTCGTCACACTTTAGTCGAAAAAAAATAAATTAAATTAGAAAACATTTAAATTTAATAAAACTTAATAACGAGAATACAATATTAAATGATCAAACCTGATGCCCGCATGTTAATTTTTTAGAACACGTCTCCTTACATCTGTATCTACTTGGTGATTGACTTACGTAACAAGGCACTTCTTTATCATGTCCACATTGTGGGTGAAACATAATCATTTTTTCACAATTTCCACATGGATCATCACATCGTTTGGTACATGAATGACCACAAGAAGGGAATTTCCGGATGCATTTTTCCTATATGATTTTCAAAAAATTGCTATTAATCAAATACAATCAACAATAATAAATAATAAACCCCATTAAACCTTACCTTACAAGTATTGTGTGGAGCTATGTGACATTTATTCGGACAAATCTGTTAAAAAAAATTATTGTTATTTCGTGATTTAAATTTATAATCTTGGATAATTTGATTACTCACGTGACCACATTCCATCACCTCTTGACATTCCCTCATACAACCACCTTCAGGTGGAATGTCAGCATACCATGAAACTTCTGTTATCTCCACACCGTGTGGCCATTCTTCTTTATTAGGATTAGAATGTTTTTGACAATACAGATCAATAGTTTGACCGCAAAGACCAGTTTTTTCAAGTATTCTCAAAACATCTCGCCAAAGTTCGGATTGCATTTTTAATTGTGATGCGTTGCCAAAAATATACATCCCATGCTTAGCTCGTGATAAAGCAACGCAAACTATTTAACAAGTCAAAATTATAAAAACCGAGAAGCTTTTTTAAAATGAGCAAGTAGCATGTATCTTACCTCTGTTGGCCACACTCAAAAAACCTATACTTTGTCGTGTATCGCGGCTTCTTACCAAAGACAAAAGGATTATATCATTTTCCTCTCCTTGGAAGCCATCCACTGAACAAACACGAACATCTACCATTTCTGGTGTATTACGAGATTCATCTCTTAATAACTGATTAATGAGTTTCCTTTGACCAGAGTACATACTTAAAATGGTACTAAAAAAAAAGAATTGTTATAATAATACATTCAGATCGACAATTCGAAATTTGAATTTAATAAAATCTTACATGTTTTTTGCACTCGTTCCACCTTTCACAAGATAATCAGTAAATTTGGTACACATCTGTGCCTCAAACTTGTTCTTTTTACTCATCGTTTCTTCTTCATGAACCTCCTCTTCTTGGTGATCAAAGAAAAAGAGATCATTGCAAAAACCTGGAACATTAGGATAGTTACATACTATCTCGTGATCTGTAAGGACATCTTTATAAATTGGTGTGAGCAGTTCTCTGATCTCAGGTCGCATACGGCGTTGTTCAGTGAGTTGACAATAAGGCAAGAAGTTAGTCAACCGTTCAAACAATGAAACATCCAATTTCTATTGTGATTTATAAATACAAGATTTATTAGCCACAAAAGCTTATGTTACCAAATGATATGTAGAAATTATGAGTTAATTTACAAAGACTTCGGCAAGTTCATGCACAGAAGTATTTGGTCGAAGTTGTTGATGGTCACTATTTTAAATTTAAAAAAAGATAATAAATACTTTAAAATATTTTATGTAATTTAAAAAATTAAAATATGTACCCAATAAGAATCAAATGTTCAGTCGCAGGTGTAAGAGCGGTCACAATGTGTGCTTCCAAAGTCTCGGCAGCTTCTTCAATAATCATGATTTTTGGTGCCAAATTAATCAGTAAATCATGATACTTGGCCTAATAAGTTTGAATATAAAAAAGTTCAATCAAAAAAAAAATGCTTTAATTATAAGATTATATTAATCACTTACTGCGGCTGTAGTGGTCATCCCAACAACGCGATTCTGTTTGAGAATAAATAAATCTTCACGAATCCTTTCGGTTTTTATCTGATCACATAATTTGAGATATTGCTCACAAAGTTGTTTAAGTCTGTCAAAAATTTCTTCCAGTCTTTCACGACGCCAACGTCTATGGATTTCTACACGGACTTCTTGAGGTATAGACCATAAATCTTCCGCGGAAGAATATTCAATTATCATATCTTCACTAACGTATACATCCGACTGTATACATTTTTCATTCCTTAATTCTACAAATTCCCCGCTTGTAAGCTGTCCACCATCAACTCCCTGAAAATCTGCTTCGAGAATATGGATCTGTTCTTCATCAAATTCTTCTTCTTCTTCCGCTTGATTCCCGCTATCTTCTGACATGAATTGGGAAAATTGATAATCAAGTTCGTTTTGCTTCGAAACTGCAGCAGAAATTGAGGCTTCAAGCCATTCTTGTATATAGTCTCTATCGCTATCATCATTACCGGATGAACTACTTGTATACCAATCATCTTGTTTAAGACTCGAAATTTGCTCATCTGAGAGATATCCCCGTTCTTTGATGAAATCCAATCTAAGACATGGCTTCCCTAACTCTTTACATAAATCTTTCATTTCATGCTCAATCTTATCTTTTTTAGCAAATAAACGATTAATATCCCGATTTCTAATCATTGTACTAGACGATTTCATTTCATTTCGGATATTAAACAATGTACGTGGTATGATTTTTTGTGAAGAAGATCTTGAACCTAGTCTAATAATATTTTCCTCATACATTTGAATGCCTAAATTAATTTAAAGTTAAATCACAACTTTTGAAAAGAAACAATCATTTTTTTTATGTAATTTAAAATCACAAACCTTCAAGGAATTGATCTAAAGCATGATTTGTCTGACACGCGACAACAATAGTACCTGGAAGATTCTCTAATAAAATTCTAACTGCAGTAAGACCCACATAAGTTTTTCCTGTACCTGGTGGTCCTTGAACTAAAGCTAATCGACATGTAAGCATCCTCTTTAATGCTTCGTATTGTGAAATATGTAATTCAGTGTTCATTTCTTCAATCGTTGGCCATTTATCCCATTCTTTTCGAACATTAAGCTAACAAACAATATTATATAGAGATATATAGATACATATATAGATATATGAAATAATATAATTCAACAAGAATAAAAAAATTACCCTCGATGTGCCATAACAATTTTCGAGGTTTTGAAACGCTTCGGTTTTACCGAACTCATAGATGGGAATTCTTGCTTTCAAATATTCAGGAATTTCGATTTCTATATTTCGTTCAACAATATGATCCTTAAATGGTAGTGTTTCAGGATCCAGTTCCTGAAGGATATTTAAGACGTGCCTGTAAGCTAAATAAAATTCATCCAATGTGAGCTTTAAAAGTAATATTATAATAAAGAATAATTATATTCAAATACCTTCGAAATACGATGAAGTTGATTCAACCTAATGATATATAATGATTATTATTATGGACGAATCATTTATAATAAAAAAAAATAATTTATTAATAAATTACCATAACATATCCTTCTGACAATTCAAAATCTATATCTTCCAATCGAAAAAGGACATCAATTTGTAAATCAAAACTCTTTCCAAGTAGTTCAAGAGGTCGGTTAACAACCGTTGCAAACTTCATTGTTTCAAAATTGTCTTTTGAAAAGACGACTAATGTTCCAGGAAGTAAACGTTTGCTTGTTGACCTGAAAGATAAACCTTGTTATAGAATTATATATTCAATTGAATTTAGAATAACAAGATCTAAAATCATTACCAATTAACACGCTCAAAATCTTTGGTTCTGAAACTGATGCGATGTACGACGCCAATTTTTGCGAATGTTACACCCACAAGATTAATCTTAACATATACTCGTAAATCTCGATTTTTTTCTTCGGGGTTTGCTTTAAAAACCCGTATACCTTCACGAAGAGGTCTTATACAGTCTTCTCTTAGTAATTTATAATGAGTTTCCAGATACTCGTTAATTGATTCGTATGGTTCCTCAATTCGATTTATAGGAATATCTCCCAATTCTGGTTGTGGTGCTAAAATTTCCTTTACGGTTGGAATAATCGGTATCGCACGAAAACCTTTTTTTTCCGGCTTTATGATTTCAACAAGGTTCGGTAATATTGGACTTATCTTATCACGACTATCTCGGTTATTTTTATTACCACCGCCTCCTCTCCTTTGGTTTTTGTTACCCTTGTAACGATCATTTTGATTTTTAGGTGTACTAACGATAGGACGACCAGAAGGTGTTAGCTGGTCTGATATCCTTTGTCTTGTGCTAGGCTCTTTATTTTGTCGTCTACGGCTCATACTTTCAGTTGAAATATATATATTTTTTTTTCGTTTTTTTTGAAAGTTTAAAAATTCGGAAAAACTCAAATCAGATTATCGCACCAATAAAATCGAAAAATCATGTGAAAAAGCATGGATTTCTGGTCGAAATTTACATTTTAGGCAATATAAAAATCATTCGCAAAAAAAATTGATTTTTGATTCTAGTAAGCATTGAAATTGACTTTTCAGAGGGACGCATTCTGCGCAGTATCGAACTGACGATAAAAAAAAATGTAAATATTATGAGGCGGCGTGGAATATTATTAAATGAATTATAGCGGAATTCTTCCTATAGATGTATCTGAAAAATCGTTTTTTTCTTTGTAACGGCATAAATTTTCGTAAACATTTGAAATTTTTTTATTATTATAAGTTTTATATAATATTACATGAAGTACTACGCTGTAAACTTTTAAAATTTTAGTATTTTTATAAGTTTTACATAATATTATACCATAATATTACAAAGTACTAAGCCTTAAACTTTCGCAAAGTCACATACCTATAAAAAATACTGATCAATATCTCATACAAAGTCATCACTTCATTCTTTTGCTTCTTTGCATTATTATTTCCATTATACAAAGACTAGATATTCTCATGTAATTACATCTCTTCGTTATTGTTTAAAAAGATAAAAAATAACCTGTGAAATCTTAACATTTCATTTTTTTTGTATTATTACAAGACTAAAAATATCTCATCTGTTATATAATTGATAAATAAATATATCTCATAAAATGACATTCTTTCATTTCTTTTGAATTCTAACTCGGAAATTTCATTTTTAGTTCTTTTAAATAATTGTTTAAAAAAAAATGTGCAAAACACTAAAAAATTTTATTACGTAAAATTAACATCAAAATTTATTAATTTGTGATATATTAATAGATTCCTCAAATATTTCTTAAAAATTTATTGTATTAATATCATACAAAATATATGATAAAATTAAAACTTACTCATATTAAGTAAAATAAAAACCATTATATATAAATGTTATAATTTATTAATAATAAGAATTTGTAATTGTGATGATAAAAATTATTCTATATAAAAAGATATTTACATAAATAGTAACAAATTTACAATATATTTCAAAACATTGAAATTGATTCTCATTTGAGTTATTCCGTAGAAGAAAATGATTAAATAAAATACATTGTGTTGTCTAAAAATAAAATTAAAGTGAATCAATAAATTCTAATTATAAAAGAATTAATTAGTTTCGTTACCTTTGGCTAAACTTTCTTTAACTTCCTTTAATACAAATTCGGGCTCTCCACGCGGCTTTTGTTCAAGATGCAATCTACATACCAAGACTATTATTTAACGTTATGATACTAAATTATCTTTATACAATTAAAATACTTTACCGCGCTCGTTTAGCTGCCAAATGTGCGTAATCTACAAGAAGATTTGAGAGAGAAGGTAATTAAAGAATTGTTCTCTGAAAATATATATATATATATATATATATCAATAATACTTACAAGCTGCTGGTGCAATGGAAACAGAACGGGTAGCACTAGATTGTAGAGAAAATAATAATAAATATAATTAAGAATGATTATAAATTATAAGATAGTCTAATCGATACTTCCAAACGTACCGTTGATAATTATAACAAAGTTTATGTGTTAAATTTTGCAGTCTATCGGCTGTGAATTTATTTTCATCAAAAAGAACATGATCTTTTAAAATTAAAAATTAAAATTAGAAACGATATTAAGACTTAACAATTTCAAATGCAAATAAATAAAAAATACAATGGGCTGGACGAGAAGTTCCGTGTAAACTTGTATGTGATTGTAAGACTAAAACATTATATAATTTTAAGAGTTATAAAATAAGTATAAAAGGCTGTTGTACAAATAAATGAAACTACTTACAGAAATCAAATAAATATGGATGCGTTATTCTACTATCTACAACAGTGCCAGCTACACAATTTCCTTTGCTAAATGTAAAAAGTTATAAATAGAATGAATATTATTTACTAAATTTAATTAGGCTTTACCTATCAGCATCACGGTCTTGTTGTGGATAAAATCGAGTGTGATGTCGCTTGCCTACAACCACAAAGGTAATCGGAGGATTATAACTCTTTTCGATTTCTTTACAAGCCTCTTTTTTTTTTTAATAAAAAAAAGGTAGTAATAATATATTAAGAAGGCAGTCATGTGAAAAATCGGTTCATTGATGCGTTATAAGTTCTTTACCTTTGATTTTTTCAAGTTCATGAGTCAAAACCATCTCAAATTGGCTTTCTGATACACCATCACGATACATGATCATTCGTTGAGGCAAGATATTATTCTTTGCACGGTAATCTTTTAAAATTTCTTTAACCATGCCACCCATATTTTCAATTTTTTCTTGTCTTGTTTTTTGACTTTCAAGCTTGGAGATAAATCGTCCACCTTGACGGTCAAGAGAACCAACAACTGCGCAGATTGAAGGTATACTTGAAGGTCCGGCGCGTCCACCGGTAGGGTGAGTAACATCTGCCCCAAGCAACATAACCGGTCCTTTTGATAACTCAGGAATTTCGGTTTCTTCAAGAGATTGATTCGTCCCTCCAAGTTTCAAATTAATTTTGAGTGCTACATTGGCACAATATTGTTTACTTTTTTTTTGCACCTTCTCAAGTTGTACACATTGTGAAGGAACACCAAGTACGGTATCGGTAGTATATTTTATGGCTCTGTAACGTTTTTCATCATCATCTGGAAGAATAAATAGCATAAGCTGCAACACATTTTGAAAATGAGTTAGAGCATTTTCATATTCTTGCTCAATCATTCGTTGATAAGTTTGCGCATCACCGTGAGGCCTGATATAATTAACTCTAGGGTTGCCTTCCTCAATATCCTTATTTTGAGAAGTGAATGATAGTTTAGTTATAATTTTCATGATTATAATATTTAATTTATTTTATATTAATTACCATTCCCTGTTGTCGACTAGTAATGACAAGTTCTTTCACAAATTGCTTCGCTTTGCTAACTGATAATCTTCGTTGGTCAATAAACGCGACCACAACCCAATAACGAAGAGTATCTCCACTCCTTACAAATTTACGATCTTTTAAATTCCATCCACCTTCCCTAGGTTTAACAGTTCCACCAGCTTTTGAAGATGAATGATATGAAATTTGTGGTGCTCTCAAGACACGAGCTTTACAAAAGAGGAAAAAAATATAAATATAACTTGAATGTTGATAAATATTCAAAAGTATGTTACACTAACCAGGAATAACCGCCATTTGTTCCTCAACGACCATCCCAAAGCTATTTAATTTAAAATCTTTTCCGAATTGCAAAACATTTTGAATGCCTTCATTAATTCGATGTACATTTTCTTGAGGTGATAAAGCGGTATGTTTAATCATTGTCCCTCTTTGAGTACTTGTTAATTTTGCAACAGGGAATCGTTGACCCTAAATATAAAGTATTTAGGATATCCTTTACCAATTTATATGCATGAATTTATAAAATACCTCAATAACATTGCAAAGTTCTATTGGAACTTTATCGTTTCTACGCCCTTCAAGTTCAACAAGGTGTAAATAACGTAAAGTAATATTATAGCGATGTTGAAAATATGTATAAATATTAATTTTCTCGCTAGACTCCGGCATATCAATTATAACATCATAAGCATTTTTAGGACAAAGCCTTTTAATTTTAAATCTGGTTTCAATTTGAGGACGATGAATAGGTTTAAATTGTAAACCACGTATGAGCTCAGTTACTCTATCGTTTTCTTGTTGATTAAGGCGATCTGGGATGGAACCCGATTGGAAATTGAGATATTTTGTAATCAAATTTGAAAGAATACCAGGCTCATAAAATACGGTGTAGGTTGTATTGACGTTAACGAAATAACTATCTGGTAAAAGATCAATTAGGTTAATTAATTTTCAGGAAACAAAATATTTTAAAATAAATCTTACCTTGGCCAGGCCTTACACTTTCAAACCACCCCATCCATAGTTCTACACCTCCTCCCAATGGCTTACGAGTTGAAGGCAAATATGTAGATTCGCCAAATTGAGTATACTTCATTGATGGAATGTGATGAATGAGAGCATTTAATCCTCTTATGCCAGCTATATATTATTAGTTAAAACTTAATAGAATTTTTTTTTTTAAAAAAAAAAAAATTAAATAATATAATATAAAATCACCTAAGTCGAAATATTCCCATTTCATTTCTGTACCTTCAAGACATTTCTTCAATTCATCCAAGTCTACTTTGTCAAGTTTCTGAACTTCAACCTTATATTCCATCGGGTTTCCCCTGGAGTCCTGATCATCACTTAAACTAACCTGAAAGCGCAAAGGTCAACCAGAAAGATAGACAACAAAGATCATGATCAAAAATATTATTAATAAATGAAATACGTGATTCATTTCCGACGACTCACCAATGTATTCCCAGAATCGGAATTATTTAACTTTAATAAATCGGTGGAATAAAGGGTCGTGTTACCTAGTAACCAAATATTGGCAATAATCATCCTTAAGCATTAAATAATTTAACCGTAGATTGCATTCTAATGACGATATATACATACCATCGAAAACCACACCAACTCCTTTGAACCAACCATTACGTTCCTGCCTTTCTAATTGTTGAAATACCGCACGTTGCACATTTACAGGAAGTTGTTTTTGTTGCCTTGGGGCGCGTCTTCTTTGGTTACCTTCTCCCTCAGGTCTCTGTTGAATTATAAGCTTCATTGTGATCTCGTATTTTTCAAGAAATGACTTATTCGCTGTCTATTAAATTTCTTGATTTTTAAATATTAAAGTTCGCGATATCTATATAATAAAAACGCAAAGCATCACCTTTTTTATCTCGAAATAATTCGTAAGCACGTGAGTATGCCGACCAGACTTTCCATAGTCTGGCCGCCTAGCCATATTTTTGATAGCCTTTTCTCTTAAAGCCTCTTGCTGTTCATCTCGTACTTGCGGCTCTTTCTTTTCTTCACCCTTACGCTGGTCCACTTCCTTACGACCGTTTTTAGCCATTTGTAATTGAAGCCGTCAAGAACCTTTTAGGAATAAAGTGTATAACTAAGATTTTAGAATTTGCATGAAGCATTAAAGCAAATTTAAGTTCAAATTCCAATCAATATCGACCTTATACTAACTGTATAAGGTTATATATTATAACTATCTAAATGATTATTATTTTCAGCAGCAGCCGTTCGAATTTCACTAATTATCAAGAAGGGATAACAATAAATATAATAAAAGTGAATTCGTTTTGAAAAACGACCGGCCTAAGCCGATAATAATTATTGGACCGAGCCACGTTTATCCGTGAATTGATATTTTTTTTTTTTTTTTTTTTCCCCAAGCTCTCATAACGACCCGATTTATAGATACTTTACCAAATGCACTCCATAGGGGAGTGTGAAAATGTACATTTTATATATAAAACGATAATAATAACGTAACGATAATGAACGAAATTAAAGGGTTGTTTATTATTTATTCAAGAACATTACGAAAAATGACTGCGGAAATTTCTAAAAATGTAAATAATAATTTCGAATCAAAAATGATTGTAATTTCAATGTTACAATTAACTTCATACATAACGCGCTTTTAAACGCGAAATAAATTTTGATTACCACATATAGCGTAAAATTAGCGAAGTTAATGTAAAATTTTAATTACATTATATTAATTAATGTAGAATTTTATTTTAATTTTTTATTATATTATATTTTTTTTTAATTTTAATTTTTTTTATATATATTAATTTTTTTATTTTATAATAAATTTTTTTTTATAGTTATACAAATTAATATATTATTTTACCTTTTTAACTTATCACATAATTATAATTAAAAATTCTAACCTAATTCAATAACAATTCAGATTTGTCTTGTCATTTTTTTTGATCATTTTCTTAACAAGTCATTTTGTCATTATTTTTTCATTAAATTTGTTAACATTAACAATGATATCAAGTATTGAAAATCAGGCATAATAATACTTTATAGATAAGTATCTTAAATTGTAGCGTTGTATTATTTAAGTTCTATTAATTTCATAAATTACCAAATCCTAAATATGTTTTACATTCCAATAATAGAAAGTCTTATTAATTTGACTATATAATTAAAGAACACATCTTTGCTTCAAAATATATTTGCAAATACTGTTGATAACAATTGATTATATTTCAAATAAGCTTATATAATGAATATAAACAATTATTAGTATTAAATTAATAAATAAAATGAAAAAATAAATCTGATTTAATCTTTATAGTTTTCATATCATAATTAAATAATATCAAGTCAAATAGTATACTTTTAAGCAAGAATACGAGAATGATAAATGATTATTACAAGGTAATCCAAATTAATATATTATAAAAAGTCCTAATTCATATAATCAAACTTTTTATAATGAAATAGTTGATGAATTTTAAATTCAAACTTTATTATAATTAATATTTTATAATATAATATAATATATATTTATGTTATTTATTTATTTTTAGATCATCTTTGACAAGCTTGTAAAAGTTTATGTGAAGATTGATATTGAAATGAAATTATCATAGGAAACATTATTTAAATAGCAAAAAATATAGAAGATATCATTCATACAGCAGAAGTAAAAATCACAAAAGATAATGTTTATATTCATATTTTACGTATTTATTTTTTTATAAAATAAAAAATATTTTTGTAATTTTTTATATTTTTTTTTAATATATTATTTCTATTGACATATCACATTCATAATTTTCTATTTTATTTTTAATTTGGTCTGATAAATTCTTAATTTATTTTTAATTTGTAAAAGATTACTTACCATTTTATTTATATAATTTTTTACTATTAAAGATTTTTTTAAAATTCTTTTATAATATTATCATTTAAAACTTTTAATAAAATATTATATTTAATGATATCAAATTATTCATATTTGATCAAAGAATATTAACATATTCTTCAAATTCAAATAAATTACGTTAAATTAAAAAAATTTATTATAAAATATTTCGATTATTTATTTTATTTTTTTCATAATCACCATATTTCTTTGAATAAGCATTCCTAAAATAAGCATCCTTTTTCTAAAAAAATAATAAATAAATATAATAAATATGAGAACTATAATAAATAATAAATAATATTTTTAAATTGATTTTATAATTAACTTCTAAAAAAATCTTTATAAAATTATATTCATAATGAAATTAAAATTACACTAAATTTCTTATTATCAACTTTCTATAGATATATTATTGTCATTTATTACTATTGATATCATTTTCACTACTATCATCATCAATAATTTTCAAATCATTTAACTCATTTGATACTTTGTACTTTTTAAAAGATTCAATAATAATTTTATCAGAATCTTTTCCCAGAAATATTTAACTTACAAACATACATCGCTAAGTCTGATGCGATAAAGATTTTTATTGGCAGTTTTCTCATGTTATCTAAGTATACTATTCTTTGTGAAGATTATCCTTAAATAGTTTATTTATTATGACGTTAAAGTGCTAATAAATACTAATTAATCTATCTAAGATTATCACGAGATCAATGCTATTTTTATGAAACTTTTCTTTAACTGATTTTTCAAATAGCCTTTGAAAGAATTATATACAAGCATTGCTGAATCTCCTTAAATATTATTTTTATTTTTATTTCATTAAGATAGTTGATATATTTTATCATTAACCTATTATCTATCCAACCATTATGTTAGAATTAGATAATAATACTAGAAATACTTGTTTATTACATGGTATTCATTTTTCCTTAAAAATGCAGATTAGATAAAACTTAGACCTATCTAAAACAATGAACTGATTGTAAGTAATTTTCAATTTGATAAAAAAATTTGAGAAAATTTACCTGCGATACATGTGAAAATAACTGTAAATCAGTTTTTCTTATTTCTTATTATACGAATATAAACTGTTTTTCTCTTTTTAGGTTAATGGTAAGAATATTGATCATATCAAACCTTATCTATATTAAGAATATTCTTTAATTTAAATAACTTTTTGATTCTTAAATTAGCAACAAATTGATAAAAACTTTCAAATAGCTTTCAGTTTGATTAGGAAGTTTTTGCAATATTCTTATATAACATTATAATACTAGGTTATACTTTTTCATAAAAGCAACTACTTAGTAATAAGATGTTTTAATTTCTTCTATCAAATTATTATAAAGAATCGCCATATCTAACTCATTTAAAATTTTCAATGTTCTACTTTTTATCATTATATAAGTTACTGCAAGATCCTATTTCTTTTATTTTATGATCTAGATATAAAGCTTTTTTTAGCTTCTGAGTAAAATACCTTTTGTTTAGCAACTGGTTTACTTTTCTTATTTGTTTCATTTATTCAGCTTATGCTTACAATTAGGAATGGTAACGATCAGCGCTAGTCAATTAATAGTTGATTAATAGAGCCTTTAACTGACTGACTGATTATATTAATTAATTAACTGGTCTATATAATAATAATATAATTTAAAGTTCTTGATCAATAATTTTAATTTAAGCTTTAAATAATACTAACATGATTTTTGCAAAACTCTGATTTTTTATATATTTTACTTATTTCTTTAGGCTAAAGATGATACAGCAATTAATTTCAAATTTACAAAATGTTGCAACATAAGCTAAAATTAGTTGCAACATATGTTGTAACATTATAAGTTGCAACATATATAGGTTAAAACTAATTGCAATATACATTAAAAGTTGCAACATATTAATTACAGTTTTCATCTTTACTTTAGGCTAACTCAATATGCATATTAAGTTTACTTTTATATTTATAGCATTATTATAAATTTTTTTTAAAAAATAAATTAAAAAATTTTATTTATAAAATTTTATAATAAAATGATTATTAATTACAGTCAGAATTCAATATAATGAACCCTCTATTTAGGTAATGTTGCATTGTTATATCAAGTATTTATTAAGATAAATATTCTTGTTATACCGAATTTAATATGAAAAATTTTTATAATTTGGTTTAACCAAAAATATACTATTAAGTATTATATTATATTTATAAAATTATTAATAAAATTCCTATTCAAAAATTACAAATTCATTCAAATTTAATTGAAGTGCAGATTCGGATTTAAACTTTAAGACTTTTCTTCTAATTCCCTTTAAAATCTTTAATTCATCATTAGTAACTTCATAATTTTCTGGCAGAAAATTTTGAAAAGTAATTAAATTTTCAATACTATTCAATGCATTGCTTAAAGAAATATTAGGAACAAATTCATCTTCGTCATCTTGTGTTTCTTCTGTATTAAGTCTTGGTCTTACAGTTTTCACAATTTTATCATCGTCTAATAAAACTTCATTTTCGCTTAATTTATCAGCATTAAAGTATTCCAATACAGATAAAGTATCATCATATGACAACTTCTGCATAGCATCATTTAAATCATTTTCATCTTAACTTCTATCAAAATTAAGTTCTGCATCTACATAATCTAACATGTCATCTGATAGAATAATACCAGTTTTTAACCAGCAATTTTAAATTGTAGTAAAATTAACTTGATTCTATGTCTCAACAATAAAATTAATAGCATTACGAATATTAATAGAAGTGATAGACGTATTTAATTGTTGTGAAATATCATACTTTTCAACTCTATTTTCTACTAATAATTTTCTGTATTTAGCCTTAATTTAATAAAAAAAAATTAATAAAGATACTAAAATATAATTTTAAATATAAATTCACAATACTTATCTTAAAAGAATTAATGATTTCTTGATCCAAAGGTTGTAAATATGAAGTTGTATTTGGTGGTAAATAATAAATCTCAATATTACTGAAAGAAAGCAATTCATATTATTTACCATGTGTTCGTGCATTATCAACTAACAATAAAATTTTTTTACGACACATACACATTAATCCATTTAATTTTTTCAGATAATCAAGCCAAATTGACTGTTACATCCATGTCATTTTATTCCAATAATATTAAATAGAATCT